CAGGAAGCTATGGGACTAGAGTGAGGAGAGCGGCAGGAACGAAGAACACATGAATGTCCTCATTACATAATACAGAGTCGTCGCTCCATATCCGGCAGCAAACCACCAGGCAGGCGGACCATGATTTCGCTCAACGATGGGCACGGGCACTCCGATTGTTTGCCCGTCAATTTTGCCCGATAATGGGCATTTAGCGTGTGCCCGCCGGGCACTGCTCGATCTTGTGGACGGGGCTTAAGAGAGGACGCCTGACTGAAGGCGATACTTGGTGTCATACACTCAATAGGCCTCGGGTGTCAATGTTTAAATTTTCACTATGTCTTTCTTCTGGCCCCCACACATACACTTTCCAATATATTGTGACTATGCCTTATAAGTACATACCTTAATTCTAAATTACTTACTACAGGAAGTGTCTGGTTTGTCAGTTCCTGGGGAAATTACTTTGGCTATCTCATTAACTCGAAACTGTAGCCGCGGGCGGCGTGGGTGCCACGTGAACAAAGGCCGAGGCTTTTGGCTTGGGTATATCCACTTCACTTCAATCTGTATGTACGGACCATTCCCCCCACACTTAGCAATTGTGTAGCACTTTCATAATATTCCTGAATCATTGCACTCTCGACGGGATCGCATTTGGATCAGGGGAAAATACGGACCTCATCCTCCGAATACGAGGGTTAACATCCACACTTCAGGATGCAGGCCGTCCTGTGACATTCCTATGGATACCCAGTCATGTCGGTATCTTGGGGAAAGAGGCAGCAGATGGCCTTGCCAAGACTGGCTGCAACAAGGCCACACCTGACAACGTTGTTCCTCGAACACTCTTACAGATTAGGACCCAAATTCGCCGCAAACAGAGAGAAGCTCGGGAAGCAGCCATCCCCCTGGACTCCCCGCCCACCTGGTACGATGTCCTCCGTAAACTTCCTGACCTCTCGTACGTCTATGGGAAAGGGTCGCGGAAAGGGGACGTGATTGCTGCCCGTATCATCATTGGGTATGAGTTTGCTTGGGAGATTGGTATCCCCGCATCCCCTGAGCAACGCTCTTGTGCATTATGCTGAAGACCCGACAGCAGCACCCTTTTCCACTACCTCCTAAGATGTCCCCACACACAACGCTTCCGTGACGCTTGCTGGACCACCACTGCACGACCCCCTGACGGAGACACGATGATCCTCCCCATACTGGCTAGATATTTTGTAAATAATATTGATTATGTGTTAAAGGAATATCCTTCCTTCCTTAGGCTTTAGTAAGCCCCTTTATAATATTTATACTGTATATACTTGTCACACTTGCCAGGTACTTCTGGTGTCATTGTACAGGGGTACCTAGTGACAGCACTAGGATCCCGCTTCCTCTATCAAGGAATAAACAATTGAAATTGAAAATTGAATCATTGCACCATTCGTGGTTATTCGTCACATGGGGTAATGATGTGTATTACGCTCACACTGAGGTACAGTCATCCAAAAAAGTTTTGTCGTGAACCATGAACCCCGAGATTCAGACTCTTGAATCCGAAGCATTTATGGACAGAATAATGTATCAGTGTCTACTGCTCCGGGTTCACGAGTCTGAATCTCGGGGTTCGTTGTTCGCGACAGGACTTTTTTGGGTGACTGTACATAAGATATATTCTTTGAAGTATATTTTATGGGACAATCCCAACACTTCACATATGTCTGATATACTTATCCTTTTCCCAGATTATTGTTCTCATATGTTTTCATCTGACACCCGAGGTAGCTCTGTTCACTAATCGTACTCGACGTAAATACCATGACCTTCAGAAAGAGTGTACACACAGTTCCACCTTTCCACTACATTCAGGGCCGGATTCAGGAGTGGGCAAAGTGGGCAGCTGCCCAGGGGCCTCCACATATAACAATATTTTATTTATTTGTTTATTCAATGGATTATTTTTATTTTCATTCTTTAAAATTCATGGTTATCTATTCCATCACGTAAAACTATGTTCAGCAAGAAGCATGATAGAAATTAGGCTAGCTACTCCTTGAAATTCATGAATACCTGGTTTTCCTATGAACCGTATTTTTTAATATTTTTAATATACTAACTGCATATGGCTTCAAAATTCTCCAAAGAAGTGTTCAAATTTAAAAAATTTCCCGGGGGGCTTACAGCGCCGCCCGGAACTCCCAGATGTTTAGGCTCACTTCACTCGCCACCCCACCCTCTTGGGTAGTTAAAATGAGGGGGGCCTCCACAAAGAGGCTGCCCATGGGCCTCCACATGTCTAAATCCGACACTGACTACATTACACTAGTACGTATCAGTTGGGCCTTCCCAATCATCATATAGATACCTTGAGTTCTCCTTAATACTAGCAGTACACACATTTTCCACGAGTCTAAGCAACACATCTCGCAGGATTTTTATTTAGTTACGCAAACACCGCTGTACTGTACACATACAATATTGCTCAATATTTTTTTTACCTATGAGGTATACACTGTACATAAACTGTACTGTATTTTATATGGAGGGCACAATTTATTACAGTAATGTATCTTTACTAATTAATGAATAACAAATAAACAACATTTTATCATGAATGAGGCAGGAGTTGCTGATAAATACTGAGTGAGAGGCAGTGGTGGTATTGTATTTTGTGCAAGTAGAGGATGGTTTGAAAACTTAAAAAATAGATATGCTCCTCACTTTGTGAAGCTTAGTGATGAAACTGCCTTGGCAGAACATGCAGCAGCTGAATCTTACCTAGAACAGCTTCAAAAGATTATCAAAGAAAAGGGATACAAGGAGAAGCAAGCTTTCAATGCAGATGAAACTGCATTATGGCGGAAAAGGAGGCCATCCAGAACATTTATTTCACAGAACGAGAAGAAATTAAGGTGGAAATTGGGGATGTTGTGTTATTTTGTGCCACGTAATGCTATGAAGCCTTAATGTATTAAATATTGAGATTCACATCAAGCAGAGGTTTTTGAGATTTCTCTTCATGAAATTTTTTTTTACAAAAAATTATGAAAACACCAGAAAATATGTTAAACACTGAGTCAAGGGCTGTAGCAGTATCCAGAGCTCATTCATCTTTTTAACCCTTAAAAGGTGGCCAATTTAATTGAAGTTCACTGTAAGGATGGCAGCCAACACCACTGGATGTTGCATCTTCCAATTTTTGCACATAAGGAAGATAGTTCTGGAATCCTTACCTGCCATTTACTGTACTGTCTTAATATATCTGTTTTTACATTTAAACAAACACCTTTCTTTTGTTTCTTTATGGAGCATGAACACTAAACCCAGCTGATCTCAACCATGTTTTTGACAAATGGGGAAGAATTCTAAAATGCAACCCCTATGTATGGCAAACATAACTCTCCAGTGTACTGTTATTGAGCCAAGTAAAGGCACCAGGCCAGGGTTCTGTCCATTGTATTGATTAGTATCAATTGACTTCTAATTTGGTATTTTTTTTTAACATTCAAACTATACACTAGGAGTAGAAGTGACCTTAAACTATTCCGGCAAGCACTTCTGCTGAGAGAGTTCATCAGAGGTGATTTTAAATGTAGTTACATGTCAAAAACATGAGGATCATTTGGTTGACATTTATCATAAACTTAGGTTAGTTCCTTCGACTGTGCCCAAAAAATTTAACGAAGATTGACTGATTGTGGTAATTATATCTATGGTGATGCAACACCTTAAGTCATAATGCAAGGTAAAAAAAAAATATAAGTAATAAATAACATAGAACTTTCTGAAAAGCCATTTAAACATTAAGAGATAAAACTCAAAGCTTGTGTAGAAGGTCAGCTTCCTGTGTGAAGGAAGAAACTAAAGGCAAGCAGAGAAATTGTGATTCAATTAATGATGCACTTCTTTTCTCAGTCTGTTTGTCTGTCTGTCCTTCTCTCTCTTGCAGGGTAGTAACACTATTTCTTCATCCCTTGGAAATATTTCAAGTGAGAAAGTTCAGTTGAAAATATAGTGGGTAGTGAGTAAACAGGAAGAGAGAGGACATTTTTACCATACATCTAGGTTGGTCATATCCAGGCATGGGATGAGGTGTTGTCATTATCCTGATTTTATATACTGTACATTTTGTTTGTTTCGAAGATTAGATTGTAGAAAAAAATGATAAAGATTAGTTACAGTGTATTGTGTGTTCAAGAGAGTAAATCTTGAAATGTGACTTAAAAATTATAATTAAAATAAAGAGCTTGAAACTAACACCAAGCAAAGTTGAGGCATGTGTAAGGTGGCTGTGAAAAAACTGTTAACTTGTGGAATCTAATGTAATGTGTTTGAAAAGAAAATCCATCAGCAGAAATCCATTACACTAGAACTAGTTTTGTTTTCTCTCTTGGCTGTTAGCCAATGGGGTATCAGGTAGCGTTTTTGACAATGTTGCACTGGAAAGAACTTAAATTCAAAATGTGGGTTCATTCAGGTTTGGCCGTGTAAGTTCAGCTCCGGCCGATCACTCATTTGTGTGACATAGCAGAGAGATGAAAATGTACGGTTTCTTACTTTCCTAATTTCTACACAACTATATTTTACATGTTGAACCTGTACAGTATTATTCATTGCAGATGTACAATATTTCAGCTAATTATGGGTTAATAGAATTTTGAGTTCAGAGTCCCAAACAAGTGACTTATGAACAATATTTTCGAACCCAATACATTAATAACACGGGAACCTCCCTGTAATAATCAAAATATAATTTTAGTGATGTTTGTTGCGACTCATTAGGTTATTATGTCTTCTGTATTTAACTTGGCTAGTTTTGGCTGTGGTGGTGTTTGAAAATCAGCCCCCTTTATAACTTTGGGAAAATCACATTCAATTTACACACAACTTCAACAGCACACATCCCTTTCATATAAGTGAAGACTGTCTATATTCAGAAGATATAAACAACTGTAGGTGAATGGTTGCAAAAACAATCAAGTATCATCAAAATTAGAGTATAATTCAAAGCATATATTCCAACTTACATATCTGGATCACAGGGAAGTAGTGGAGTAGTTACGGTCTCTGTTACTATTGTAGTTGTAGATATTGTTGGCTCTGTAATGCGACAAATTGCACTAAGAAATAACTGGAAAATAAAAATTTATTTTTCTTATTTACCTCCAAGCAATTTAAGTGGTGTAAGTGATGGTGAAAGTGAAAGTTTGATCTATTAGGCATTCAAGACTGTGAAGTGAAGAATTATTATAAAACATTTGGAAATGAGAGTTGGCAAATATAGACAAAATGTAACATAGAACCACACTCAGAAGCACACAAACTGCTGATGCAGGTATTATCAATTCTCTTATATTACTAACTCTGTGGGGGTTGAAGGTTAATGCATTATGAACCTTACGGAAAAATAAAAATAATGTGGAACACAGTTACTGTACAGTATATACAGTATACATAATAACTAGTTAAAATAAATTGATTGCCTGTACCCAGAAGCGTCTACAGTGATTCTTTTTCATTAAAGTGACTCCCATCAGATACTTTAACTTTATAAACAATATATCTGTACTGTGCAAAGTCTCTAGTTTTTTTCTCTGGTATATTCTACCAACAAAGAGTGGCAATAAATTTAACTTATGCAGTCAGTCATCATTTACAAGATCAATAATATTATCACATATCTTCTTGAAACCATAAAATTTATTGTATGTTCCACACAACCATACCCTCTAAATAAACAAATATATACACATCCTGCTAAGCCACTTTTTCTCTATAAATTTCTCACATTTTCACTCTCTTATTTATTAAATTATTTCTCATAAATCACTATAAGTTGTTAAGGTTTAGCTTCTGTTACTGTTATTACTTCAGACTCAATTGTTCTAAGGAAGTTAATGGTTTCATTAAAGATGGAAGGTACAATAAAGTACTGAACTTTGAATCCATTTCCCTTGCAAAACTTTTCACTAATTATTGCCATTAATGTTATTTTAAGCATCAGTAAAAAATACCTGAATCCATTGACTGAACTACACTTGAGTACCAGGAACCCAAAATGCTTGGGACTTTCAGAAAGCAGATAATTTTGGAAACTTAATATATCTACTCCAGGAACAATAGAAACATCTAATAAAATTCCTAATTTTTTTCGACTGATGTGGAATGACCACATGAATGCCACTACCAATGAAAATATACTGTATTTACAATAAAATCAAGAAATATATATTCAATAAAGTTATGAACAAAATAATTGCATTTAATTATTATCAAATGTGACATGGAGCATTGAATGTTCCACGATAACACTCTCCTTCCTCTGATATGCATTGTAAATTTCTCCTTATAATTCAGAAAGTGAGGCTTCCAATTATATAATTTTTTTTCAGTCTGCTCTTGAATTTATAAAACTATTCTGGGCCTCATTCTTCATTAGGTTACTAATATTCACTCTTGAAAACCAAGCATCATCTTTCATACCTGCTATCACACCTTGCATTCTATACCAAACAATTGAATGATTTATTTTTTTATTATTTTCCAAATAGTTCCATAACCTCTATTCTGTAACTTATGTCACTTGTCACTGATATTCCATTCCCTTATGCAGAGCTAAATTGAAGTGTCACAAAAGTTGCACATCCAACACCATCTAAATCTGAGGCTTTTACCACTTACTCTTTACCCCTATGCTATTGCTTCAGTGACCTGTTATAACAAGCATGAAAGAGGAAGATCTTTGTTCTGTACTTACCACATGAACAATAATATCTAATCTTGTAGTCATGACATATCCCTGTGTCTTGGATTGCATTATCACAGTAGAAGCCGTTAGTTACATCACAGATGGTGCCTTTATCTGCAGCTGTTTTTAAACCGGTATCAGCCTCCACACACTCAATGTCTGTTATCTCACCCTAGAAATGTAATAAATAAATAAATTTTATGCTTGGTATTGAATTTCTTGTATACTGTACTTGAAAAAAAAATGTTTGGGCATGGATTTATACAAGAAAGGAGAAATGCACAATATTAGAAATAAGATCGTATTGATTTACTAACCATTCAGTGTACTTTTAGCTTAATTGATCAGTGTGACAAAAACACTTTACACTGTACAGTCGTGTCACACCTTGCATGCATTTAACTTAGGCGCATTCAACTTTATGCACTTGGCTAGGGGGAAAACCCAGTGAGTGTAGAAGTGCATGGCTAGGGGAATTGCAGCATCTAAGATGCACAGTCGAAAAAGATGCACCCCCTATTTCAGCAGGCCGTATTTAGGAAAAAACTTTTGTGTGTTTTTTCCTCCTGTAGCCTTAATTTTCTTAAAACACTATATACAGTGCCAGTAAATGTGAGGAACAAATAAAAATAATACCAATAAATAAGATACAACAAAAATACTGTATTGATTGCTAAAACCTTAAATAAAAGCCAATTGAAAGTTTAACACAATCGCCATTTCCCTGCTTCACCATAGCAACGCAGACCAACAGGGACACAACCTCTGCCGATTCCCTAACAACGCCCCCCTACCACACGCTGCGCCCTCCTCCTACTCCCTTTACGCGTTTGCCCTTAGGACAATTATATCTCTTACTTTTTTACAATATGTAAGTGAGAAAAAAACGAAGGCAGTTATGCATATCTACCCAAAAATATGAGTTGAAAAAAACATAACACTCGTCACTAATCACCAGTAGCCTGGTGATTACAGTGACGAGTCTAACTTGGCTACAATGCTGCCAGTGATGTTAACAGATACTAATGTGAAAAGAAAATTACTGTATTTGCAAATCTTCATTTATATCAGGTATTTGCAGATTTAAAAATAAATGCTGCAGGCATGACATTAATAGATAGTAATGCTTGTCGGAGTTCAGAAATGGTTACTCCTTAGCTCTGAAGAGTTGGGTGCCTGCTGTACGGATGTTAATAGTCTCAGGTTATCATCATCAGTACATTATTGTAGTTGTAAATGCAGCTTTTATATTTACAATAATTATTTGTTTAATTATTTGAAAATACAAATAATGTAATGTAATTAAATAAGCACCGTGTACTGAGCAAGGGAGCGGGTTTGGGTTGTGTATCTCTGCCGACTGATCCTTAGCACCAGGTGATAAGGGTCGGTCGGCAGAGGTAACACATCCCACCTGAGCTGTGATAGTGTGTGCACCATTTTGTATAATTTTAGCTTTTTTATGCTTTCATTATTCTTCCTAAATATTCTCTGCTGAAATCAACTTGACAATTAGTAACAAAGAGGATAAAGTAAACTTACAGCAGAAGCGGTTGTGTGGTGAGCATATAAACTGAAATAGGCCTAACCAGCCGAGTCACCAGAAGCGCTATTGACAAACTGCTCACAGCTGCCACACTTAACACTCACCTCCTGCACAAAATACACATCCATGTTCTTCATGATTCTTTTATTATAGTTTTATTTTATATGCTCCATATTTCTAAGTTACATTAGAGTATTGAAATGATTATTCCACAACTTTTGTAGTTTCATTAATGTAACAATGGCATATGAATCACCTACTCGCAGGATACAGCTGACTGGCATGTCAACCAACTGACTCCTGGTGAGACTCAGAAAACAGGACTTCTTTAACAATTATTTAACTTTATATGAATGAGGTAGCTTAGAAATAAAGAAAATATAATATAAAAGTATACAATAAGAAAAATGAAGAGCATGTGAGACGTGAACGTGTGTGTATGGTGTGCTATTGTAGTGGATCTCTCCCCTACAATTGCGTATCCGCATTCCAATGCGACAGTATCCTAGCAACCAGCGAGCTTCTCAGAGTAGGGGGGGGGGGGTCACCACCTGCTACGTCTACCCTAGACAACGGAGTCAAGAAACCGGCGAGTTCCCACGGGTTTACTTCCGGCTGCTGTGTATATAAGCTCTCAGTCTCTCCATTGAGATATAGGGCTCTTGTGGTAGAAGCGGTGCCGCTCTTGCCTCGCAAGCAATATGTCACGGGTTCGATTCCCGGGCAAGCGGAAGTTGTTTGGACACTCTTCCTAGCCCCCTTGGTCCCTGTTTACCTAGCAGTAAAGTAGGTACCTGTTGTAAATCGATAGGTTGCGAATTCGTATTCAGGGAAAGTTGTTGGAGCTTCTAAACTTGAACTGACACAATCCGGAGGAGTGGTGACCCGAGGATCACACACCAACACAGACAAAATCAAATACGTGCGCTATGCGCTAACCAAATAAATGCAGTCGTGTAAACCCACGGCACTATCTCTCCCACTACAATTCCCTTCCTAACCTCGTGCTCCTTCCTCTGTCATCTTCCCCGCTCTGCCTTTCGCTACCAGCAACTTTTTGGAGCTTCTGAACTTGAACATTGAGATTCATTCTACCCTACGTTCCTGAACACGCAACATCTCCTCCAACGAAGCTCCTGCACAGATACCTAAAATTATGTTTTATTTTGTATCCTTAATGAAACTCGAGGTGGTTCACTGTTTAGGGAGCATAGTTGAGGTGTGGCTGGCTAGGCATGTTCCGTCCCAGGAAAGGAGCTCTTCTTCTACCCTGCTCTGTAAGATTGTTTTGGGTTTACTTTGGTTTAAGTGTAATTTTTTCATGTGGTGAACTAAGCTGTTTTCTTATAAAAATATAATGTGGGCTTCTGTTTATGTTCGACTATAAGAAGCAGTTCAATAAAATAATTTTGACTCAACTGCTATTTTGGTCTACTGTGTCCACCATGAACCATGTGTGGCAAGCTATAGCCATGTGTCTTACTGCACCCACTGCAGTGTTGTGTTACTTCAGCGCTTGCCTCTACACCTGTGTATCTAAGCCCATGAAGAACTTATTTGATATATCTTTTATCCTCTTCACCACTGATCGGCACGTTAGCCGCTTGGGCGATGGGTCACGTCCCTGTTACGCACTGTTGACAAATACTGGGCATGAACCGGTCCCTGAATGTACCTGAACCTGCTTCAATGTTGGTCAAGTCTGGTCTTGAAAGAGCTTA